AAAAAAAAAAAAAAAAAAAAAACAACCCACAGAGAATATTGCCAAAGATTTGCTGGAAAAGAATCTCCTGTAAATGATCAAAAATGACAACATATCCATTCAAGAAGTCCAACGAACCCCAAATAGGAAAGATCCCAAAAGAATATCACCAAGACATATCACCACTAAACTCACCAAAACTAAAGACAAAGAAAGAATCCTGAAAGCAGTATAGGAAAAACAAAAAGTTACCTACAACAGGCAACCAACACAACTAAGCTCCGACTTCTTGGCAGAAACCACACAGACCAAAAGGCAATGAGATGGTATATATAAAATCCTGAAAGAAAAAAAAACTCTAACCAAGAATTACATACTCAGCAAAATTGCCCCTCAAATATGATGGTGAAATTAGGACATTTCTAGGTAAGTAGAAATTAAGGGAATTTGTTAAAACCGGACCAACCAAGAGATGCTAAAGGGAGCCCTTTGGACAGAGAAACAACAACGCAAAAAACCACCGACCACGAACACACATGATAACATAACCCAGACATCCAAAATAAAATAAGCTTCAAAATTCAGTGTTGTTGAGTCAATTCCAACTCATAGTGACCCCTCTTTGGGTTTCCAAGGCAGCATCTCCTTCCCAGGAAAGGCTAGTGGGTCTGAACTACCAGACTTCTGGTTAGAAGTCAAATGCCTTAAGCACTACACCACCAGAGCCATCAACTAGCAAATGAGGACAACCACAAACCAAAAAAAGGGGAAAATAATATAATTACAGAACTTCTAAATGGTGAGGAAGTCAAGACAATTCCAAGATAGAATGGACTTGGGAAGAAAATAAGTCACAGAGTAACCTCAAAGAAAAACGATAAACCTTCACATCACAATAAAAAAAGAGGACAATCACAAATATTTAGCAAATACTAAAACAGCAACAAAGGAGGTGATAATACGATTCATAAACAAAAGAACTCAGCGCAGAAAATTACATGGAACAAAGAAATCAGCAATACTATGAAAAACCCTTAACAAAATGACAGCAACAAATTCATACTTGTTGATAATTACACTGAATATCAATGGATTAAATGCACCACTCAAGAGATGGAAAGCTGCAGAATGGATAATATAACCCATCAATATGCTGTCTACAAGAGGCACACCTTAGAGATAAAGACAAAAACAGACTAAAAATCAAAGGTTGGAAAAGCTGTATCAAGCAAATGGCAATCAAAAATGAGCAAGAGTGGCAATATTAATTTCTGATACAACTGACTTTAAGACAAAAATCACCATAAGAGACAAGGAAGGACACTTTATATGATTAAAGGATCAACGGACTAAGAGGCTATAACCATAATAAATATCTATGCACCCAATGAAAGAGCCCCAAAATATGTAAATCAGACTTTAAGTGAATTGAAAAGGCAAAGAGATGATACTACAATCATAGTAGGAGACTTTAATACACCACTTTCAATGAAAGACATAACAATTGGACAGACACGCAACAAATACACAGAAGAACTAAACAATACAATCCACCAACTTGACTTTATAGACATCTACTGAGCACTTCACCCAACAACAGCATAATATACCTTCTTTTCCAGTGCACATGGAACATTCCCCAGGATAGACCATATGTTTTAGGCCACAAAGAAGCCCTAATAAATTTCAAAACATTGAAACATTGCAAAGTATCTTCTCAGATCACAATGATATAAAATTAGAAATTAACAATAGGAAGATCAACAGATAAAGAGCAAACACATGGAAACTGAATTAAAACCCTCCTTGAAAATGATAGGGTAATAGAAGAAATTAAAAAAATTCTCAGACTCAAACGAGAATGAAAACACAACATAACAAAATCTTTGGGACACAGCAAAAGCAGTGCTCAGAGGCCTTTTCATAGCAATAAGCACACACATCAAAAAAGAAGTTGTTGTTGTTATGTGCCATCAAGTCGGCCCCAACTCATAGCAACCCCTCCTTGGGTTTCTGAGGCAGTATCACTATGGAAGTAGATTGCCCAACCTTCCTACCAAGGAGTGGCTGGTGGGTTTGAACTGCCAGCCTTCAGGTTAGCAGTCAAGTGCCTAAGGCACTATGCTACCAGAGCTCCCTCAAAAAAGAAGAGCAAGCCAAAATCAATACCTTAAACCAACATCTCCAACAAGCAGAAAAAGAGCAGGAAAAATCGCCTATAGTCACCAGAAGAAAAGAAATAATGGATTCAAGCAGAAATAAATCAACAAGACTAGAAGTTGGTTTTTGAAAAGATTAATAAAGTTGACAAACCACTGACAAATTTAATAAAGGAAAAAAGGGAGAGAACACAAATAAGACAAATAAGAAATGAATTGGGTAATGTCACCAATCCTACTCAAACTATTCCAAAACACAGAA